TAATATATATGTATGGGGGGGGGGCATCGATTTTGCGGTTTAATTTGTAACAAATGTTTCATGTCATGTCTTTGTAACCTGCTACTGGATGCTTTGAATTTCCCTCGGGATCAATAAAGTATCTATCCATCTATCTAAGTGTTCCTAATGAGTTTACAGATCAATCAGCGCATGATGTTGTAAAATATGGTCCTGGTTTGAGTTGAAACAAGGTGAAGACAGGTACACGCTGAGAGTGTGTTTACAATGAGACATAACTTAGTGTATTCACCATCCGGCTCCTGTCTTCTGGTCACACAAAAAAAAAACAAGATTGAGACAGTCAGAATTGTAATCTTGAGGCTCCAAAAGGTTGGTTTAAAAACAGAGGGGATGAAGTCAGGGAGGCTACGTCCACTTTCTATATAGTTTTTAACAGGTGGTGGGAGGAGAAGGAAACAGAGCTGTCTTACAAGCTGGAATGAATCTCTCTGTCAGTGCAGGTAATAGACTGAAGCTGGCAGGGTGCTCGACATTAATCGAGGGAGGTCAGGGTCAGAGCTGCAAAGAGTTTATTTATGACCAACCTTGAGTCATGCCTCTGAAATGTGTGTGTGCGTGTGTGTGCGTGTGTGTGAGGCTGACAGCCATATGGATCTCTCTCTGCTGACTTGGACCGACTTCCTTTAAAATGACCTGCCACTGCGTCTGTAAATCAAGATCAAAGGTCGTTCAACATTTTGAAGAAGTGCCGTGCTTTCGCTGAGATATTATGCATAACGGTGCGTGCTTATTTATTTATTTATGGCGTCGTATAGGCGTGCCGTGCACAGTGTGTAACAGCTGCATAACTCAAAGGAATGGACACTTTCTATGGTTTTATGGCTCTGCTGACACTCTGGTGTATATGTTGTAGCAGTACATGGTGGGATAATATCATCAGGCTGAGGCGATACATATTCATGAGGTGCCTGCAGAAGACTCCTAATCTTTCCTCTGCTCATGTATTTTACGGTGTTTTTGTCAGACCTAAGCACGACTTGTGTTTGCGGTTAGTGGAGCGCAGCGGGGAGAAGGTGCTGACACTTTTTGTTATTGTCAAAGGTAATGGCGTGCTCGCATGTGAGTCCTGCAGCTCGCCGGTCACGCACGTTTCCCCCCACTGCCTTCAGGTTCAAACCAGGCAGGGGGAAAACCGTTAAGACTGCTGCGGCTTTCTCTCCTGTTTTTTTATTTTTTCTAAATATAAATCAATCTGACGCTAAATCAATCACTGCCTGCGCTCCTGTAGGCCTACTTTACTGCAGCGACGGATTAAAGATATTAGATTGTCAGAGATTAAATCAGTGAGAGTCACTGAATGGCCTCTGTGACTCTGGATGACCTTGACTCTGAGACTGTAGCCCTGATGATGTCACGGTGATGTCATCATGGTTCTTTCACTTTGACACTTCATCCTGCTTTATAAAGACTGAGTCCAAATGTCTGGACTTCATCACTCATGGAAACTTGTGGAATTTAATTAAGCACTCACAAATTGCATTATGGGAAATGTAGGATCTAGCTCAGTCCTCTCTTAGTCCAGTAAACAACACTCCATGACTCCACGAGATTTTAAAGAAGAGACACAATCTGCCAGCCCTGTTAATATATTACACAACAAGTGTTTTTTCAAGGTGAATGTTTTAATTTTTGTTTAATTTTTGAATAATCATTTTTCTAATGGAGCATTATAGACTGGTGTCTGGTGTCCATGGAAACACGTGTCTCTTCTTCTTCTTCTCCTGTCACAGTGAGGTACAAAATGTTGTCTGCATTCAAGTTTGTTGAATTTAAGATAAAACTATGAATAAAGGATTCAGTGAGAGATGGTAGGAATGCCTCAGCCCTACTCAGACTGACGTTTCAAGCAACAATATGCACACTACTGTGACGCTTTGCCTTCAATCTCTCAAGGCACTTTTGTGAAGACGAAAAAAAAAGGAATCTGAAAAGAGCTTTCTTCTGTTTCGTTTTCTTGTAAAGAAAAAAAATCCCACACACTACTCTTGCTAAGCATCAAAATGTTACAGTCCTTCTAAGCCTTTGTTAAGTGTGTTCTCATACTATGCTCCACCTGTTGTCTCTGCTCAGGTGAGGGACATTTAGTCTGATCACAAGTCTCTCTCAATCGTCAGCAGTAACATGTTCAGAGTCACTCACAATAATATCCACAGACATGTACACATACAGTACAGACAGTTTGTTGTCCTTCTTCATGAGATAGTTGGATGTGTGAACACCTCCTTAAAACCTCAGCTTCTTTTTAAGCACTGGTCAAATGCGTCCTGTAGGGGGCACTATAACTCTTTCATTTATTTTTCTAATTCTTTCAAGTGATTTTTTTTTCTTTTTCCATTCATGTACATCTGCTGTGATTTTAATAATGCATTTAGACTAATGAATAGAACTATTGAACTTAATGAGCTTAACTTAAGTCATGACTCTGAGAGATTTTTATTGATTTCTGCATGAATTAGTAAACAGTATAGCTCATCAGCAGAGAGCCTGGCTTCATTCAGACAGAAGCTTTTCACTCGTTAGAAAACAATTCTTTGAAAACATCATTAAAGGCTGACAGAAGAGTGAAGATTATTATTATTTTTAAATGTGCTGTGTGGTAGATGGCACAATAAGGCTTCTTAAATCCCTATTGTAAACCCTGTAGGGTTAGATATGTGTAAAGTTTACTTCCACACTAAATTAAGGACACATGACAGAATAATCAGCAGATAAAAAAAACAAAACATGTGAGAGTCTTTAAATTCAAACAAAACCAGCCTTATAATCACAGCAGATTTGTATCTGCTGTCAAGAAGAAAAAGCAGATGAAACCAAAATGGAAACCAGAAAAGGATCTAAAACTGTTCTTGGTAGCGGGAGATAATGGGAATCATGGGAGAAAAGCAGGAGGGGGGTGTCGTGATTATGTAATTCCCTGTCTCCCGGTCCACCTGTTGCTCGGGATGGACGGCTGGCAGCTTCAGCTCCCGCGCAGTCGAGTCGTGTGAACAGTGTGTGTGTGTGTGTGTGTGTGTGTGCTCTCTGTTTGAGCTTGTGGTGGTTGCGGAGAATGGGCACAGTTGGTGTGGAGGAGAGTTTTCCTCCTCCACACTGTTGTACAGAGAACAGAAAGCTGCACGTTCCCATGTTGTTGGACAGCACGGCCGTTAGCACAGGTCACTGCAGATCTGTGTTTTTGTGCTTTTCATGCTGGCTTCATAACACAGCGCTGGTGTGTTTTCTCAGCTTCAGAGCAAAGTCTCTCTCTGAAGTTTGAACAGGAAATCAGAGCCCTCTCTTCTCTCTCTTCAGTCAGGTCTTTCATTTGTAGTCTTTGACATTATTTGTTATCACAGGTGTTACTTCTTTTTTTAGTTTTCACGTATCGATTCTTCTTTTGTAGTCTTACAAAGATGTGTTTGTCTCTTGCACTTTACAGGCTCCGTGTTTGTGTGAAAGATCCCGGATGACCTCGTGAATGAAATCATAATCTGTCAGCCTCATGTTCAATGTTCAGTCATCAGCTTCACATACGTTTCTGAATTTCTGGAAACTTTTTTCTTAAATCCTCTGGACATGATTTGCACTTCAATTACACATTTGTACACCTCCATGTTGCACTTTACATAACTTAGTAACAATCTCCATTTAGGTTTGAGCTCTGGACTGATTTTACTGTGATGTTTATATTGTGTTGTGTTCAGGTTTTTTAACTCTTTTCTTTTGATTTTACCGTTGATGTATATGTTGTTCTGTGTGCTCCTGCTGAAACACATTTCCCCCTGTGGGACATTAAACAGTCTGAATCTGAGCTGATGATTTGTGTCATTTTCAGGGAATATATAGAGTTTGGAGGAACAAAGACTTGGACATGGTACTTATTTTATGAAAGGCTTAGATGTTCTTTCTTGAAAAAGATCAAAGTGAAAATATTTACATTAATAATTACAGATAGAGAATAGAGGGAGAAGCTGCAGTATTAATGTTGGTGCTGATCATTTGTAAAGTTAGATGGAAAGTTAAAGAAACAGGTTAGTAATTCATCTTTTCATGATGACTGATTAAATTATATTAGAGATTAGGTTGAACTATAACTACTATTCAGATAACAATGATAGATTTGGATAATAATTCTCCAGCACAGAGTAGATTTTGATTTTCTTACTTTTAAGAAAACAAGTTCGCACCCCATGTAAGGAGTCCACAGTCCTCCAAGCAGGCGCCCCATGTTCAAGTCAGACCTGCAGCTCCTTTATTTAGTGCCATTCCTCTCTCTCTCTCTCGCTTTCTCTCTCTCTTTCCAGATTTCCAACTCTATCCATTGTCCTGACAAAGAAAGGCATACAATTTTCAAAAATATATCTTAAAAAAAGACAACAAGGAACATTTAATACACAATTTCTGCTTATGAAGCCATTTGTGGTGTCTGTTTAGTGTTGTCTAAGTGAGTGGGGTATGCACCATCTCCAAGTGAATGTTAACTTGTTGAACTCAGTATTTCTAAAAAGACTTGGAAGGTAGTGATCCTCAAGCTGTAAAGAAAAAACAACAACAAATTGCAGTGTTGATATGGACACATAGCCAAAAGACAAATCTGCATTTCCATCAATCAAGATAAAACTTGGAAACAAATCCCCAAACATTCAAAGCTAATATTTGACAATCTGAGAACTTGTTTTCATGTACAGTCTGAGATCACTAGGTGCCTCGTCATCGCTTCAGCATCCACTTGAAGGTTAGATTAGAGATGCTGAAGTACCTGTAGGTCCAACTGAAGACACTCTCACATTGCAGAGAGAGCTGGCATGAGGCACGCAGGCAGCCTGTTGAGCTGAGCTGCTTATTCAAGTGCAAACACTCAAATGTAACAAAGTGAATTACATTTTAAGGGTTAATATGTGAATCACAATCACTGACCTGTGGCAGAATTAAAAGGCGCCTGCATTTTTTTTAAATATACGTTCACATTTAGCACCTTTACAGCCTTCTGTAGCTTGTAAAATAACCGCAATAGAAGAAGAAGAAAAAAACAGAAAGAATACTGTAACAGTTTGGCATTGGAGCAGCTTTGTTGATGGAGGAGGTCTGCTACTGAAAATGTAATAATGGGCTAATCCCCTCGCATGCGTAATGAGAGCCGGTGCCAAAAGCAGGGCTCAAAACCAACCCGCCATCTGTCTGAGAGACACACTTCTGACGAGAACACGGCCACACTCATCACTTTTTACGCACAGTACGCACAACCGTGGATTTACACCAGAGTCAGAGCAGCTCTGCGCGACATGATGATGCTTTAGTGTGAAACACAGAGCAGGGAGAAATCTAGATTTTTGTTTTAGATTAAAAGACAGTTTCTCGGGCTTGCAAAGTTGGTTGATGTCTCGTTTTAGCCGCGCGTAAAACCTCTCTTGGTTCGCTGAAAGTCTGGTTTCTCTTGGATTTTTCTTTTAGCTCAAACCACAAGATGAATAACTTCACATCATCTCCACATCTGAACCAAACTTTAGGCATGTGGACGGACTACAGCATTCAGTACAAAGTGATCAGTAGTTTGCTACTTTTCGTGATTTGCGCTTTAGGAATCGTTGGGAACGTCATGGTGGTCCTGGTGGTGCTCACCACCAAACACATGAGGACTCCAACGAACTGCTACCTGGTGAGTTTAGCTGTGGCGGACCTGATGGTGCTCACAGCGGCTGGTCTACCCACCATCACGGACAGCATCTTTGGCTCCTGGGTGTTTGGACACTATGGGTGCCTCTGCATCACCTACTTCCAGTATCTCGGGATCAACGCGTCCTCGTGCTCCATAACCGCCTTCACCATAGAGAGATACATCGCCATCTGTCACCCTATTAAAGCGCAGTTTCTGTGCACTCTGTCCAGAGCCAAAAAGATCATTCTGTTCGTCTGGGCGTTCACTTCTCTGTACTGCGTGATGTGGTTCTACCTGTCTGACATCCAGGAGCTCGTGTACGACAACATCACCATCATCACGTGCGGCTACAGAGTCTCCAGGAAGTATTATTTGCCCATTTACTTCTTCGATTTCGGCGTCTTCTTCGTGGTGCCGCTGCTGCTCTCCGCGGTGCTGTACGGACTCATCGCCAGGATCCTCTTCCTCAACCCGCTGCCCTCAGACCCCAAAGACAAGAAGAAGAACGGACACAACAACCACACCGCCACCAAGAAGAGCAGCTGCAAGAACTCCAGACACTCCAGCTCCACCGCCACCTCCCGCAGACAGGTGGGTGCTGAGAGAGCCAGGCTTAAAGTCACATGTTTCTTAAAATGTTACTTTTCTTAAGAGCTGGGAGGCAATCTAGTTTGCATCACATAAAAAAAGTTCCAGGAACCGTTCTGCATAAAATGTAACCGTAGAGTGCAAATGTGGTATTTTAAGTATTTTCATTTTATGACCTTTTCTTGACTCCACTGCAGTTTGGAGACGTTTTTCCTGCAGCTTCAATTCATATATTTACCCAAACATCATTTGGGATCCAAAACTATCAGGCAATATTTCTGGATAAATCACCAAAATGACCTTCAATTTGCTCCACGCCCATCAAACATTCAGTGAAATACTGCTCACACATGCATCAATACTTCACAACATTATGTAATATGAACACTTACAGGGTCAAGTTTCTACATTTGAAACAAAAACTACTATTTTCTTTTTACCCAAACACGGTTTAAATACACACATTTTACTCGTAAAGGACAAAAAAACACTGAAGAGTGAGAGAGTAAAAATTTGTAAACTATGATAGTCATAGTCTTGAGAAGAAGATGACTAATGCAGAAAACACAAATGCCATCAAACTGTAGAAACAAACGTTTAAAACTGATTTCCTTTAATGAATCTGACCTGACTTTTAGAGATGTCAGTGCACATACAGTATTCGACAGACTTAAAAGAACATCTGTTGCAGGGCTCTTCATAACATATTCATACTCATTACATAACCACAAAATCCTACAGTAATGTAATCCCCCTCATTCTTATCATCCAGATAATATCGTTAGAGAAGCAAATCGTGTTTTATTATCCAAGATAAGACAGGCTTGAAGGGGCCAATCACCCAGATTGAAAGAAGAGATCATAACATGATGTGGTCTTAGTTTTCATGGAGTGATGCCTTGTTTCGTTTTACTAACAGTTTAAAACAACTATATATTTTTTTATTTATAGTTAAGTAGTGACCTCTAGTGGACATTTACATTTTAACAGGAGTGAAGGAAGAAGTCAGGATGGGTAGTATGAACAAGCAGCAATCTCCAGTGATTAAAAATTAAGCCAATGTGGGCGTGCGAAACATTGCAGTTCCTCCAGTGTCCACAAGAGGCCGGCTGCAAAAGCTCCATTAACACCCGTATCAAAATGCTAATTTTTAACAGCAGAAATAGCCTGGTACGAAAGAAGGATTTAGTATCAATAATAGCTCCTTTCTGTATAGGTACACACTTCACAGGGGATGATTAAAAACATATCCGTTTTAATTAAATGAAGGTCAGGAGCTAAGTATACATTTGCATAATTAGGGGTATGGTACACACTGGTGATTGGCAGGAGGCTTTAGGCTCGTCTTAACTTGACCTTTTTGTCTGTTAATAGGTCGATATAACAGCATTTCAAATACGGTGACCGCCATCGTTTTGATTCACAACACCTCTTTCAAAAACTGATGGGTGACATCACTCAGATCACGTCCATGTTTTATACAGTTTATGATCGTAAAGAGTGAAAAAGCTGATAGAGGTCAACAAAAGCTGTTTTCACACGTGCACTCTATTTCTAGAAGTTCCAGGCAGAAATCTTACTGACTTGCTTGGTCAGACATGCACCTCACAGCAGGGGACTTTTCCTGTCATAAGGGGGGGGGGGCAGTACATGACGCAAAAGTGACATTGAGTCCAACATTATGATGACAATTTTTGCACTGTCTCTCCCACATCTATCAGCGTGTACGTGTAGTTCGATACATTCACAGTATAACCTAAAGGACTCACTCAGTTGCCTTGAATTTTCCTGAATATTTCCTGCTGTGTTCTCACATCGACTCTCCCCAACTGTGCAAGTGTGGAAGCATTTAATTAGGCGTTAACGCGGGTAGATTATTTTAACCCAACATATATATCTTAAACATGATCCAGTAGTTTTGCCCAGAAACCTAACTGGACTTCTAGTTCTAGTTCAAGTCTTGTGTAGGTAGGTCTGTGTAGGTTCTCAGTCATCCAGTTCAGGGTCAATTTGACGCTTGATCCAAAGGCAATGCAGTGTTCATATTTCTCCTCTACAGGTGACAAAGATGCTGGCGGTGGTGGTGATCCTGTTCGCCACGCTCTGGATGCCGTACCGCACTCTGGTGGTTGTCAACTCCTTCCTGGACCAGGCCTACCTGAACAGCTGGTTCCTTCTCTTCTGCCGGATGTGCATCTACCTCAACAGCGCCATCAACCCAGTCATCTACAACGCCATGTCGCAGAAGTTTCGCGCCGCCTTCCGCAAGATCTGCCGCTGTGGGAGGAAAGGTGCGGATAAACCCACCGCGTACAGCGTGGCGCTCACGTACAGCGCGGTCAAAGACACATCGATGGTGGAGAGCACCGACCACTTCACGACGGAGCTGGAGGAGCTCACGGTTACAGACGATCTGCTGTCTGAGCAGAAGATGATGTTCCAGGATCAAAGTGTGTACGCAAAGGTGGATTTCAGCGAAACCTGAGGTTTGTTTGAGGCTGAAGAGATGAGTTTGAAAGTCAACAGATTTACGAGCCTGATGTTGCTTAATGGAGTTTAGAGAGAATATTGTGTCCTGAGTGCCTGCTGACCTTTTTATAGCCAGGTGTCTTAAGCTAAAAATTTAACATATCACAACAGCTGGTGTGTCATATTGGCACTTAGCTCTTTGTGGAGATGGATCCTGGAGATCGTAAAGTGAAAATATATTGACAGAAAAGCTCTCTTAGTGTGTCTTATCTCGAACCTTTCCGTGTAATATAATGTGAATGAGTCACTAAAACATGAATGTGAAAAAAACCATTCCTACTTCAGATAGTCGGCTTGTGCAACCAACCAGAACAAACTCGTTTTTGGATCTTTAAACATGCAGTGCAAAACGTCTGCCTCCCCCTAGAGTCAGAGAGAGTAATTACATGAACCTGGTAGACTTCAGCATATGAAGACTACCATGCCTTAGACTGAATATAAGAAGTGGACACAGGTGTTCTGTTTCAAAACTGAAGCGAATGTGGAAGTGTCTTAAATATGCCTTCTTTATAATGGCCAGCAGGGGGCGATTCAACGTGTTAAAAGAAATCAGTTTGTGTAGAAAATCACCCTACACCTCACTTAATTTATTACCTCAATAAAATCTTCATAATGAGTTTATAGACTCAGTTTAAATCTTCCTTAACACAGCATAATGTTTGTGTTGTAAACTTTATTCCCATTTGATGGAAAGTAGAAAAAAGAGGGTTCGCTTTAGGGTGTGTGAGTACCAAGTAGCTGGTTGACATGGCAACCGGTCAACCAGGGTAGATTAAAGAGATGTGTAGACTTTTTAAAGCATGGACGTAGTCTCAGTGTCGTCACCAAATGGTTTCTAAAACCGACTTTTCGAGCACATCAATGGCGGTCGCCATATTGGAAATGCTGTCTCAATTCATCCACTGCACAGTGTGTGCAGATGGTCTAAATGGGCTCTTGAGACCAAATTCGTTTTTTTTGGACCAGGCTGTAAAGATGTTTATTTCTGCAGTAAAAAAATAGCATTTTAGAATTGGTGTGTATGTGAGGGGAGGGGCTTTTGTAGCCAGACTCAAGTGGACACTAAAGGAACATTGGGTTTTTGCACTCCTTCGTTTGCTTCATCACCGGAGGTTGCCGCTTGGTATCCACTCACATATCATCCAAATATAGTAAATGCTGGCTCCTTAAAAAACAAAATGGGGACAGCACAAATGTCATGATCAAGGCTTCAAAATGGTCGTTATTCAATGTTCTATATATAGTCCATGCGCTCAGGTCAAAGTCCAAATCCCCTCCATTGAGAAAATGTTTCTTATTAATTCTCTTCTTAGCCATTATGTCATAACATCCACGGTAGACTTAACATAAGGTATCTGAGTGTGAAACGACGGTATATGCTCCTGTACAAGACACAAGTTTGTATATCAACCCAGTTTAAGAAAAAACAATGGTTTTGATTGCAATCTCGTGGAAAATAACTACACTACCCACAATCCTAGAGTGTCACAGCGACGTCTCCGATTGGTGGAGACCAATGAAACCGTGGATGTACGTTCAGAAAGAAGCGCCCTAAAATATTGTTTGTTGGGTCTAGTTGGAATCACAATGGATTGTGGGATTCGTAGTTCCATTACACCCAGAAAAATATGAACACAGTCTTGTACTTTTATCAATTTTCTCTGTTTTCCAATCGTTATTTTGCACAAAATCAAATGTTTTATAGTTACAAGTATTCAGGTAGTTGGTTAGCCTGGTTCCAGGATTAAAAACAGTGTTTCAGGATTTTCTGAAATGCAAATGGAGGATTTGAATTGGCAAATTTACTTCTGGAACCAGAGCCGACAAACGTAGTGGGCGGAGTCACTGTTGAGCTCTATAAGTCTGGGCTCTGTGGGCAGAGCTTCTCAAAGAAATCAGAAGAAACAAACCTCACATCTATGATTTAATAAGTCAGAGCATCCTGTCCTGTCATTGATGATTGTTTCAATATTGTCATATCTTTAGTAAAAAGTGTAAATAAAAAAGAATTTAACACATCCTTTACTTCTTAACCTTTAATAAAACATGCCTTATTTTCCTCCTTCAATCGTAAATTATTTTTCCTATATTCTGTTCGAGCAGCAGAGATTGTAAACCTCAGTGTTCGACAGTGTGAAAGACTGTATATAGTGTTACAGACATTTAGTGTAACATATAAATATGTTGATATAAATCAGCTGCAGCACTTGAAGTCCAGTTAAATCAAAATGAAGTGTCACGTCTTTTTGCTTGTCTTGGTTTTTAGTGGTGAAAGCTTCAGTGAGCTGGTGAAAAAAGGTCGAATGGCTGTGTGACGTTCACAAACGCTGATGTTTGTGCTGTTTTCTGCCAGATCAGTGACTGTTCATGAATGTCTTATCACCGTAAATCTACATGGAGGGATGTTGATTGGGCAGCAGCAGACAAAGGAATATTTCAGAAATGTGCATGAAAAAAAAAACATCTGTGGTTGAATAAGTGTAACAACGCTGCACATGACTTGAGTATTAGAACATTCATGCACTTGTATATGTTTGTTTTATATTTAAAGTGATCGCTATTGTAACTTTTGGTTTGTTTGAGCTATTTATATATTTTCAATGCCACTTTTGTTTGCCAATCAAAAGTTGGAAAATCTTATTTTGTGATGGATATTTTTGGAAGCTTCTGTCCGAGTCTTGCTTTTTTTTTTTTTTAAATAATGTGATCTCGTGAGTATGTTGTTTGGTTATCGAAAAAGTTGCTGATTTGAGCATTTTATCTTGATGTTCCAAATAAAAGAGTTTCTAGAAAAAGAGGAGGCGATTTTGTCTTGGATGTTCATGTCATCAGTTTGATTTATATTTGTTTATTCATATCTCCTCACCAGGCCTGCACACAGAAATGGCTTGGCCCCTAAAAGGCCCAGTGACTGTGCCCTCCCAGGATATCGTTTAAATCAACATCTGCACATTCGATCAGTGCTGTTAGCGCTAGCCTCCTGGCTAACATTAGCTCCATCTGCCTGGCTCCCATCGACCTTTGGATCTGACTGAAATAAGTTTCTTAACAAGTTCTTGTTGGGGTCAAATGCCCGAGCCAGCACCCTCCTTTTCTTCATCCTAACTCTGTGCAGGTCCTGGAATGGTTACACTGGTTGAGACATAACAGTTAAGATCACTGGGCCTGCTTACATCAGTGACATTACAAAAGAAAAGGCTCACATCATTTTTTTAGAAAAGGGGGTTTACATTTGGAAACATTTCACTGAAGCAACAATAAATACAATGTTTTGGGTTTTATTGCTTTAAGAGGTCATGGTAAGTATTTAGGTGTAAAATAAAATGTGGTCACTGTTGCTTAAAATAAGGATGGTCCATGCTTTGACCCTCCCCCTTACCCCACCTTGTGGGCGGCCTTGCTCCTCGCTAACGAACCACACTGAGCAGCATTCTGCTTCATTCAACAAGGACAGGATAGAAACTTTTCAGAAGAAGGAACCCAAACTTCATGAACTTATATTTCTTTCAAAGACATTCAGTTCAAGTTCAAGAGTAAATCAGTCATTAAAAATAAAATCCTCATGCATATTAAAGTGAGAAAGAAGAACTAACACGTTCTGCCTGAAGCGCTGCAGCCATGGGAAATAATACAGACACGCTTTAGTCAATTCAGACGTATCCTCGTTAGGAGTACTATTGTGTTTTATGTGAGATGGATTTTCATGGACTGTTGTGTTTGTGATAAGGAGTCAGAGTGAATGTAAAACAGAGGAACAACACATGCTGCTTTGTCTTGGTTGGATTAGTACACAACACTTCTCTAACACCTTTGATTCTACTTTACATGAATATATCTATTCACAAACCTGCTACAATAGAACAGAATAGAATTACTTTATTGATCCCAAACTGGGAAATTGTGGTTCGGTACACGTGATTTGAATTGTTGAGTAGGACGTCTTTCATTGATTTGTTTTAATTTGTTTGCCAACAGCACCTCTGACATCTGACTGTGACAGAATGGAAATATTCACATTTATTATGCAGACAGTTTCCATCCCATCAATTCCTCACTGTTCCACATAATGAGAAGAAACAATTGATTTACCTGAGGGAATAAGTGAAAACATAAACAATACATTTCCCCCCTTTGAATGTAAAGCAGCAGCTAATGTAAAATCAGACACAGAGTGGTTCCAGTTAACTGCTCATTTTCAGCCAAACGCCAGGACTGAAGGGCGTGAGTGGAATTTCAAAAGGCTCCACATCATGTCGGTGGGGTGTAAATTATGTTTCGATGCGAGTCGTCCCCTCGACGTTGGTCTGTCAGCTCTGGACTCAGAGAGGTGTGAATGGATATAAAAATACGAAAGCGAAAGGAACGCACTGAAGGAAAACGTCTCCTTCATGACAGCCTCTATATTTGTAATATTTCTGAGTGTATATATCCGTCTGTGTGCACATATGTTAACTTATGAACCTGCTAGTGGATGACATGAGATAGATTTGTATTTAGTCCATATTGGCTAAATTAAACGGTCAGTTTATTCCACTAAAGAACATCTTGTTATATCGTATTCATCCATTCAGATAGTTCCAGGTAGATGTAGAGGGGCTTGTAGATAAGAGATAAGAAATACCCTTATAAGACCCTCACTTCCTTGCGAGAAACTGGGACCCAAATTACTGAAAAATGTCAACCTCTCAGATGTATTTAATGAAGCAAAGAGCAGTTTGGACCTCCGATGGAACAAAACAAACATTTTTGTGGCTCTGGGACCCTCCAGTTGTGAACCACCTGTTTAGACACCAACGTGCAGCAAACTTCACACAACATGAAAGTTTCTCACAGGAGCGTTGAGCTACTTTAGTAAAGTATTAAAGTATTCGTAAAAAAGGTTTCTTTCTGAAAGGTTTTTTTTTGTAGTTGTTGGTAACACATTGCTAAACTACAGAATGCTCCCAATAAGTGCGATATGGCCCGACCGATTTATCAGCCAGCCGATAATACCGGCCGATATTAGAAAATTAAGTGACTATCGGCATTGGCTAATTTTATCATGCAGCGATATTACTAGATTTATTCCCCAGTCAATAAGCATTTCATTTGAGTATCATTGTGTAAAACTAGCAGTTCTCTGTCACCAGCAGAGGGCGCTGTATAGATTACAACAAGCATCATCACTCCCCAGAGTGTCACGTACATGAGCAGTTACTTTCCAGTTGAGTGACCATCTTGTCTTCATTATAAATCTTTTCCACGAGTGTTTGATAACTGCATTTGTTGCATAAACACAATAAATGTCTTTTTTTATATCTATTTCTAAAGATCGAAGATAGATCTAAGAAAGATATTGGTTGATATATCGTAATGGGTTTTTCTGCCTCCTACATATCTGTAACAGCCCCAAAAGTCCCATATTGGTCTGCATCGATTTCTTCAGTAAAAAGCAGTTCAAGGCCAGGCATCAGTAATGGTACGGTAGGTGGAAAATGTTCCTGTTGTTGGGTTGACTTGACCCTTCAAGAAACCAAATAAGCTCTCACGTCCATAAACAAACGCTGCACTCTGAAGCCTTGAACTGAGAGGAGATTCGACCTGCATGAAAAAAGGTTTTCTGTTTATTTCTGTTTCTCGGCTCTGGCTAAAAGCCCTCACAGCTCAGCTATTGTGTGTCTGATATCTCGATCAATGCCGGAGTGTTTTCATGCTTACACCAGCTGTAATGATCTGACGTGTTTTTTGTGGGACTGTGGGATTGATCCGTGTCCCGGGTCGATCTGCAGAAAATAAAGATTACAATGTCTGTGTGACACGATGATTTTTAAAAAAAGGAAAAGAAACATAATCAATGTATCATCATCATCATCATCATCATCATCATCATCATCATCCAGAAGAGTTCAGCCTCCAACTGTTGTGTTTTAGCTTCTTTTGCGTGAATTGACACAAATTATTCTTCGAGGTAGTAAGTATATCGTCGCTGTCACTACCTGGCTAGCTTGCATAAACAGAGCCTGGTTCTGTTTAAAGTGACTGTGTTGTTTTGGTTGCCGTGGTAACTTAGGGCCATTGGGAGGTTATGTAATTTATCAGCAGGGCATCGGGGCATCACTGGGATGAGGGGGTTTCTTCACAGAGCACTCCAACTCATATTGGGGGACGACTATCCTGTGTTTATTTTGGGCTGTGATCGTAAAAATGTGTTAATGCGCTAACAGCGATGCAATTAAGATCAGAAATTAGCGCTGTGTGTGCTATTTTGTCCCCTTTGGAGTAAAAAAGAGTAAAGTGCACGTTGTGATATCAAACTTTTTTATTATATACTATTTTTCATTTAGGCTACCTTTTCTGTGACTAATGTCGTCACCTTTGATTCACCAGAAATTCCTTTTTCTTTCAAAATAAAAGCAGGTATTTATCCATCCGAAAGTAAAATACCCTTAGCTTAAGACAGCAGGCTACACAATGCAAAATAAAAAGTATATCAAAAACTATCTTAATAATAATAAATAATAATATATTGTTTTTTTATAGCGCTTTTCTAGGAACCCAAAGACGCTTTGACAAAAAATAAAACCATAAAACAAAACAAAAAACGACGAGGACAGTACAATGAAGAACTAATGTAGGGGGAGGGGGGAGTTAGTGGTTGTAGGCAATGTTGAAATGAAAAAGAATGAAATTTCAGATGAACATGATCAACTATTTAAATACACTGATTAATTGCAATGTAAGATTTGTATTGTTTGACAGCCCTAGTTTTCTTCAAGTTATTTTGTTTTGTATTGAACAGATAACAGGAAAACTTTCACCCCAGTCCAGGTCATCGGTGTGTGAATGTGTAGGTGTGAAAGTTGAGTAGTGAGAAGACTAGAAAAGCGTGACACAAGCTCAAGTCCATTTACCTCAATAAAGGGTACCACATACATATTCATAGTCGTATTAACATATTTAATTCCTCCTTCAGACTCACGCTGTCTGATTGAGAGACGTTTCTTGGGCAGAAACAGCGAAGAGACATCACAGCAATTGTTCAAGCTGTAAAGTAAATCTTAAAAGTAGTCTCATGCGACAGGCTATAATCAGCAGACTCTGCGGGGATGTTGGACTTGAATGAGATGAAATTAGCGCCCCTCAGGAGGTTAACACTCGCTTTCATATTAAATAGTCTGAATTTACCTTAATCAGGGGGACAGACACAGAATGTGCAGAGGATAAAGAGGGGTAATGTCGAGAGTTAAAGTGGAGAAAACAAAGTCAGATAATAAACAATGGAGAACGAGAGCAGAGGAACGTGATCCAGGTGAATGCAGGGAGGTAGAGATAGGCAACTTTCTGCCTCATTAACTCTGTAATTGACGTGTTTCAGCACAATAAAACGAGGCGGTTCAGCGATAATGGCTCTGTAATGTTTCGGACACGGCAGACAGAGACGGCAACAAAGACGAGGGGTGGAGTAATTACATCCCTCGTCCAGCGGTAAGAGAACAGACTCAGCTTTTTGGATTAATTACACGGGGAGAAGAACAAACTGGGTCGAGCGGCTGTCTTAAAAGAAGCCGGCGCTTGTGATGGAAAAAAAACCCAGCAAAACCAACGAACACAACTACACTCCTGAAACCAAGCGCTGTAAAGCAACCAATCACGAGAGGTCGTTTGTTTTAAGGAGTCATCTTCATCACGTTCTGCCATAAAACACAACACAATCAAAAAAATGAGTTTTTAAATGTGCCACCTGTGGCAGGAGGCGAT